TTAGTAATTGATGAAGCAGCACAACTAAAAGAGTGCGAGTCGTTGATTGCATTACGACTTCCGTATATCAAGCATGTTATACTCATAGGCGACGAGTGCCAATTACCAGCAATGGTTGAAAGCAAGGTACAATATTTTATTTCTCAACAATTACTTTTTAGATACTTGAGTTCTGACCTTTTTACTCCTTTCTTTTAAAGCTTGCTGATGATGCTGGCTTTGGAAGAAGTTTATTCGAGAGGTTCAGCTCTTTGGGCCACCCAAGACACCTTCTGAATGTGCAGTACAGAATGCATCCATCTATTAGTTTATTCCCTAATTCAAAATTCTATTTTAGTCGGATTTTAGATGGTCCTAATGTTACGAGTTTAAACTATCAGAAGAACTATCTTTTTAAATCCATGTTTGGGCCATATTCTTTCATAAACATAGGTTATGGAAGAGAGGAGAAAGATGATATTGGACATAGTCGAAAGAATATGCTCGAGGTGGCTGTTGCTTCGAAAATAGTGCAAAGTTTGTATAAAGGTTTGTCTACTTCACTCTCCTGCAACTTTTATCACGTATTTCTTTTTTTCTTTTCAATTGAGTTTTGTCTCAAGTACGATCAGGCTTTCCACGTTTCGTTTTCATCAAATTGTTTCTTGCTACATTGTTGTTATAATTCCTCTTTGTTGTGATAATGTTGGTGAATTGTCATTGAAAAACATGTGCAATCCTGTGAAATCAACAGAGACGTTGAATGAATCTCTAACAGAAAATTTCTTTGATTGATAGGTAGTTGAGAAGCAACATTTAGGGAAAAAAACTATAGAAAGATCAGAAAAAGATTAGTATGTGAAAATTTGTACTAGGGAGACTGTTTGTGGGACTATAGTGTTGGAAAGAGGGATAGTGAAAGAGATAGGAATGGATAGGAATAGATGAAAGCTACGGTGCTTTATTATTGTCTACGGACTCAATGCTCATAGTGTTACACAATTCCAGTAGTTATAGCTAATACACTGGACCAAAAATAGTAAATCATCGAAATCTAGAAAGAATTTAAATCTACTAACAATCTCCTAAAAATCTTGGTAGTTTGAATATTTGAATCATATCTCAACTACTTCAAATCATATCTTCATTTTGAATACTTTGAATCATATCTCAACACTCCCCCATGATTCAAAGTTGCAGATGTAAGTACAGAGCTTTTCTTCTGACAAGGGCTTCGTAAGTATGTCTGCTTTAACCCGTACAATGTCTGTCTCAACTTGTATACCTTTGTTTCTTTGTCTTCCTTTATGAATCCCTCTGGCGGTGTTACATAAACCTCTTCTTGTAAATCTCCATAAAGCTTTTCGTTTGGTAGGTCAACCATATCCCATGTTCCATCTTTCTTAACGGATTGCATCTCTACTGCCATGGCTTTCTTCCCGTCTTCTTTTTCAGTTGCTTCTTCATAATTCATATGGTCTGAAATAGTAAGAGCAAACTGACATGATGCATATATGTCAGCTAAAGATTTATACTTCCTTGGAGGTGTCTCATCCGAAAGTTCTTCAAGAGAAGAATTGCTATTAAGTGATGCTGAAGATGATGAATTTGACACACTTTGTGTTGCAGTGGAACCACTGGGAGATGCACTGGAGTTGACCCTTGTCTCTTCATTTGGGGAAA